CAAAGTGGCGAGTAAATGTTCCTCCTAAGTATTTTCTGGACTGTATGACAAAAATGAGGCCTCCTGACTCAAAGAATATGCAGATTCCCAGGGAAATGGCTGAGAAAGACTTTGAAGGTAAACAAACGTGAGTTCACAGCTGAAGGATGATGCCACCTACTATTTTGTATGACATCAGTAACTGTTTTGTGATACTGGGAGTGGAACTCAGATCGTCACACATGTGAGGCTTGTCCTTTACCAGAAAGTCACACCTTTTGCTCAAATTAGCTGTTTAAGACTATATTTTTCCCAATTCATTAAAGTAGGCATTTAACTAAGGCTAAATGAAATCAAGTAAACCAAGCATTTAGCATCATCTCAGGCAAAAACCAGGAGATGATTACATATAAGCTTTTTGTATGCATTACCTGTTGCAAGATTGTTGTCATTATTTGTTTTGGGGTTATCACCTGACCATGCTGAAGGAAAGGTAAGACAAAGTAAAAGGGTTTCCATATTCTGGGACTTCTTCCTACCATGAGACATGACCACACAGTGCAAGGTAAATGCAAGTCTTGCTCCTTCCACTACCAGGAGTCATTCAGAAAAGGGAATGCTTTTAATTTTCTCAGAAAGTCTTTCCACTTGTAAAGTCCCATTTCCAACTGTTTTGTATCTCATAAACAAAATGCTATCATCTTAATCTCCCCCATAGTCTACTGAAGCTATTAAAGTACAGTACCATTACTTCAATGTTCTGGTTAACTGCTAAGTCATATCTCCAGCACATCTTTTTATGACGCCTTCCATTCACATAAAAAAAACTACAGCAGTCAAACCATTGTGATATTAGAATAAAGGCAAACTCAGAACAACAGAATAGAACTTAGGGTCCAGAAGTAAACCCTCACATATTACCCAGCACTGTAGCACTGTCCTCTCCTTGTTCATCAATTTGCGCGTGCAGGCCCAGTAACGTCCCAATTGTGAGACTTGTTGTCACTGTTTGGCATATTGAATGCATCATGGGTAGCTTGCCAGGTCCATATATATATATATATAAAGGTAAAAGGTAAAGGCCCTCCCGTTGATCGTCGATTTGCTCGAGCAGGCCCAGTAACATCTCCATTGGAGACTTTGTTGTTACTGTGTCTGGCATATCGAATACTCTCGGTAGCTTGCTGGGCTCTCCAAGAGGGGCGGAGGAATCGAACTCGGGTCGGCCATGTTGGCCGCTTGTAAGGCGAACGCCCTACCCGCTGTGCTATCGCTCCAGCCCATATATATATAGACCATATATATATGGACAGTTAACTGATGACAAAGGAATCAAGAATACCAAGTGGAGGAAAAAAAGTCTCTTCGATAACTAGTGTCAGAAAACTGGATAGTCACATGCAAAAAAATAAGGTATAACCAAATTCGTATCTCTCACCAGATAAATTAAAGATGTTGATATTGTTCTAAATACATAAAAAAAACATAAAGAAAAACATATGCAGAACTGCCCATGCTGTTAAATCAAAGGTTGTCTTTAACTACTCTATTTCCTTGACAACGTAAACAGAAGCAAAAATAAACAAATGGCACTACACCAAACTAAAAAGCTTCAGCATTGCAAAGGAAAGAAGGCCAAAATCCAAAGAATGGAAGAAAATATTGGCAAAGCATACATCAATCAAAAGTCTAAGATCCAAGATAAAATGCAAAGCTCAACGACTTGAGAACAAATGATCTCATCAAAATAATAGAGAAACAAGACTTAAGAGGACTGGAGGATAAGACAGGGAGGGGCCTCGTCTATGGTGGAGGGAAGTATTCAACCAGGAGGAGGTGGTACTGCTGAAAGTGTTATGTGTTATGTATAAAACCCTGGCAGCTACAGTATTTGTAAACCATAGTGCAAAAACTTATTAGGAAATTAAAAACAACTCTCATAAAAGCAGACTGGTGGAAGGGAAGGGTGGGCGGGACATTGGTGGAGGAGAGTGGATACTGGGGTTGAACAAATTGGTGTTGAAACATTGTATGCCTGAAACCCAATCATGAATAACTTTGTAATTTCATAATGACTAAATAATTATTAATAATAATATTTCAAACAGCTATTTTACTGATAGCTAAAAGGCATGTGAAATAAAGTATTCACCATCACTGATTGCAAAGGAAATGTAAATTGAAATGACAAAGAGATATTACTCACATTATAAGAATGGCATATAACAAGACTAGAAGTTGTTGGAATTATGTGCTTGAGAAACCACTATTATTAGCATTGTAAACCACAGAATCTTAAAAAATTTTCAAAAAATGTAAATATAACAAAATATAGATGGAATATATCACAGGTAGCTTGCCAGGCTTTGCATTGTGAGCAAGATACTCTTGGTAGATTGCTGGGCTCTCCGAGAGGGACGGAGGAATCGAACCCGGGTTATCCCGGTCGGCTGCGTGGATAGGCAAACACCTATCCACTGTGCTATCACTCAAACTACCCGTGATGTATTCGATATGCCAAACACAGTATCAACAAGTCTCACAATGGAGACATTACTGGGCCCGCTTGAGCAAATCAATGAACAACAGGAGGGCAGTGACAGTGACAGTGATAGATGGAATAGAACAACAACAACAACAACAAAACTAGAAGCAGGGCCAAAGAGACAGTACAGGAGTTAAGGCATTTTCCTTGCACACAGCTAATGCAAATTAGATCACTAACACTGTGGTCCTCTGAGCACCGTTTGGAGAGATCCCTGAACACAAATCCAGGCGAAAACCCTGAGCACTGCTAGATAAGACCCAGAAACCAAAATAAAAGGATAAAGGAAAAAGACTGGAAACAAACTGTGTTGGTGAGGATGTGATTTTAAAACAAAAAGAGTTAATGGAACTATAGAATAGCTCAATTGCTATAGAATTAAGGAAAACAGTATTTTTACATCTTTCAAATTAAATTTTGACTAGATTTACTTCAATAATTTAAAGTTACTTCAAAATTTAAAATATGACCACTTCTGGGCGTCTACTCCAAGAATGAAAAAACATTAATTAATGTAAATGCACACTTATGTTCACTGCGGCACTCTTTACAATAGGAAAGATACAAGAACAATCTAAATATCCAACAACATATGAGTGGATAAAGAAAACGGCATATATACACAATACAGTACTACTCAGCCATGAGGAAAGATGGACTTGACTTTTGCCACAAATTGGTTGGAACTAGAGAGTATCACGCTGAAGCAAGAAAATAGGTAGTTGGAAGGAGAGCTGAAAGTAAATTCTGGGGACACAACAAAACCAAGAGTTGGAATTAAGAAGTTACTCTGCACTGGGGCTGGAGAGATAGCACAGAGGGTAGGGTGTTTGCCTTGTACTCAGCCAACTCGGCCAACAGGAGTTCGATTCCTCCACCCCTCTCCGAGAGCCCGGCAAGCTACCGAGAGTATCTCGCCCACACAGCAAAGCCTGGCAAGCTCCCCGTGGCCTATTCAATATGCCAAACACAATAACAAGAAGTCTCACGATGTTACTGGGTCCGCTCGAGCAAATTGATGAACAACGAGAGGACAGTGCTACAGTGCTACTCTGTCTAGTCCTAAGTAGCTAAATGCGTTATGGCCAGACCCACTTTGTGGACACAGGAACTAAGTTGTGATAACACGCCAACTGTGGTGCCAGCACCGGCCCAGAGAGGACTGGACCTTCCTTTGAAAGAAGCTCTATTAGGAGCAAAGTCTTGTCAGAAGGACATGGAGGAGGACCATCAAAAGTGTCAAACACTTCTCCTTGACAATGCCATAGCAACAAACTCTGACCTAGGTAGATTTATAGGTCGGATTATATATATTGTAGGAGAAACCCCATAAATCTATAAAACCAGCTTGGCAAAGGCAAAGGCATCTCACCACTCTGTGGGGTGGGGTAACCCACCTCTCCACCTGGTATGTGTACTCAGCTCCCTCTACCTCTGGAGAGTTTCATCATCTCTCTTAAATGGATCTCTCTCTCTCTCTCTCGCTCTCTCTCTTTCTCTCTCTCTCTTTTCCCCCCTCCCACTCCATCCTTGTTCAACCTTCCTCATAATCTCTAAATAAAGCTGCTTTACTTTACTGCTTGTTTCCTCCCAAAATTCTTTTCTGTGAGGACAAAATAATAGACAAAAAAAAAAGATTGGGTATGATTTAGGACTGACTTTCCTTCCCTGCAAAGAGCAATTCCTTGTTCCAGCCCAAGTCCATGGCTCCTGAGAAATCAGGTGGCAGGAACTATCTCCCATACTGGACAGAACAAGTAGGCTTGAGGCACATTTTGATGGTTGCTTTGTTGCACTGTGAGATGTGAGGATCCCCTGGCCCTGCCAGGAGCACTGCCAGGTATGGTCCAAAAACAAAACCAAAAAAAGGGTGCTTGGATCAAAGGCTAAGTTTCTTGTAGCAGTTTTGCAAAAATGCTTCTCTTCACATATGATATGTTGCTGATTTGCATTTTCCTTTGGCTAAACCAGAGTACAGGCAGAGCATAGAATCACTAACAGAAAGAAATAAACTCATGCTCAAATGGCCCTTGGCAGCTGGGTCAAATGGGATAAAAGTAGAACTCCAAGGCTTGGCTCGCTGCAATCTCAAATTGTAGTAAAGCAGCCAACTCCTTCTTGAATGTAAATGATTCTCTTTTTTCCTTATTCTCTGTTCAATGTGGAGAATACCAGGGGCTGTTTTGTTCAGAACTGAGGCCTTTTATAATTACTTCAGACATCACAGCATAATTACACAACAAAGCACTGGAGAAAGAGAGAGCTGGGCCCTTCTCAGGGGGTTGTTTTATTTTGTCCTGTGGCTATTATTATTATTATTATTATTGCTACTACTACTACAATTTAAAATATATGTGTTATTGAGGGGAAGGTTTAAATAAATTCACACACAAAGACAGACAGACAGATACACACACACTTCAGTAAGACAAATGAGGTTGGACATGCATTTTTTTCCTCTTCCACACAGACTTACTGTCGGTAGTTATAGGCAATGTCAGCGAACTGCTTCCGTCTTGCCCGGTACACGGGATCTGTAAAACCCTAGGAGAAAGAAGAAATTTGTAGAGAAGGAACCAGTATGACAATAAGAGTTGGACATGATCATGGTGGACAAGAACTGAGTGTTAAAAGTAGGTAAAGAAATATACATGATAACCTTTCAGTATCTGTATTTAAAACCACAATTCCCAAGAGGAAAGAGAGAGAGAGAGAGAGAGAGAGAGAGAGAGAGAGAGAGAGAGGTGCCACAGAGGCAGGCTGGGGGTGGGGTGGGGATGATGGGAGGGAAATTAGGAACATCAGTGCCAGGAAATGTGCACTGGTGAAGGGATGGGTGTTGGAACACTGTATGACTGAAACCTAATCATAAACAGCTTTGTAAGGGTCTCAGAGTGATCCAATTTAAAAAAAGAATAAGAAATTTGTTTTTTTCCAAGGCTCTGGAGAAAGAAATCTGGCAAGTCCTTGTCACCTTTGATTGGGAACTCTAGTCTCTGTGCTCTGACAGTTGATCTCTGCTTCCCCTGATTAGATCCTAGGAATAAGGACTCTTAAATACGGTCAGCTCCCCCAGCAGATCTTATGAGGGGCATATTAACTACCACATCTTCATTGGTATGTGTCTCATTCAATTGTTTCCAACGTGGAAGCAGTATAAAGGCTTTTTAAAAACTTCATATATAGCATTTCTAACTTGGGAATTTACTAAATTAGGCTAGGAGAAAGACATCTATGATAAAGGGGAAAACATCCACCAGTTTCTAACCAATGGAATGATTATGGTTTCACACTGTCTCTTGATTCTAGATACACAAACAGGTGTGTAATGCTGATAACAATTCTTTTTTTCTTTCTGGACCACACCAGCTGATACTCAGAAATTACTCCTGACATTGTTCAGGAGAACCATAAGGGATGCTAGGGATGGAACCAGGGTGATGTGAGAGGAAAGCAACCATCCTATCTGCTATTTATTTAGCTCTCCAGTTCCCTGATACTGACTTTTTTTTCAAGAATCATTTACTGAGTGTCTACTATGTGCCAGGACTATTTGTGCTAAGAACTTATTTTATTTATGACTCTTACAGCAAATGTCTGACAGTGGGGCCATAGCAATAGTTCAGTGGGTAGGATATTTGTCTTTCACGCTGCCAACATAGGCTCAACTTCTTGCATTCCATATGTTTTTCTGAGTGCCACCAGGAGTAATTCTTGAGTGCAGAGCCAGGAGTAACCCCTGAGCATCACTGGGTATAACCCAAAAAGCCAAAAAAAAGGTCTAATTGTGCCCTTCTTTCCAGATATAAAACTGACTTGAAGAAGTGGTGCCAAATGAAGGTGAAGCCAGAATTTGAATCACCCTGTTTCATGCTCTTTTCACCACGCTTCAATAATTGTCAACTTTTACAACTTGGCAGGGCTCAAAAAACAAAGAATCTGTCTCAATACATAAAGAGGATAATTATTTCTCCTCCAAGACTGACTTGTAGGCAGCTTTCATACAACGATTCATAAACACCACATTTCCTAGTGAGAAGAGGACACATCTGTCTTTCAGTATTGGGCAACAGGATGGGTACACGCACAGGTCAGACTCCCAGTTTGCTAAAAGGTCACTTTCTTGTGTGTTGTTTCTTGAGTTTCATGGTGTGTTGTTTCTTGAGTTTCATGATTTCAGGTGTTATATTAAGTCCTTAATCCATTTCCATGTAGTCTTTGTGAGTGGTGTAAGTTAAAGATCCCACTTCACTCTTTCACCTGTGAATAACTATCTAGTTTCTCCAACACCTTTTACTAATGAGATTATAATTTCTCCATTAAATATTTTTTACTCCATTGTAAATATTAGTTGGTTGTAGATGTATGGGTTTAGTTATGATTGTTTTTGTTTTGGAGTTATACCCAGCAGTGCTCAAGGCTTACTCCTGGCCCTGCACTCGGGAATTAATCCTGGTAGTATTTGGAAGACCTATAGGATGCAGGGGGATCAAACCAGGGTCAACCGTGTGCAGAGCAAGTGCCCGAACTGATGTACTATGTCTTATAACCCTATTTATGCTTTTCAAAAATTTTGTTCTAGTTGTCATGTGCTCTTTCTCAAATAGGAGTACCATACTCTTTTGATTATTTTAGCTTTGTGATATCATTTAAAGCCAAGAAGTGTTTTGTACTCTCTCAGTGTTGTTCCTTGACATTGGTCTATGCAGTATTTATATATGTTCATATGTATTCATATACATATTCATAGATACACAATATTCATATGTATATAATTTAAAAAAGCATAAGCAAACAAAGCAAAAATTAAACAAGTTGAACCATAGCTAACACAAAAGCTTCTGTACAACAAAAGAACTGAATAACAATGAAAAGGCTATCCACAGAAAGTGAGAAAATATTTACAGACTATAGATCCAATCCTGGGTTGATATCCAAAAGACATAAGGAAATCATAAATATTAATTGAAAAAAAAACCTATTTAAAATGGATAGAGCACTAAATGGACATTTTTCTCAAAAGTTACAAATATAGACAACAGGTACATAGAAAGATGTTCAATGTCTCTGGTCATCAGAGAAATGAAAACCAAAACCACCAAGAAAAGTCACCTCATGCCTATTAGAATGGTTATTGTTAAAAATCTAAAAGAAAGGTTTTGGTAAGAATGTGAAGAAGACTTCATGCACCATTGATGGGACTATAAATTTGTTTACTGTTTTGGAAGAGTATGGGGAAACCTCAAAAATATTTAAAATAGATCAATTATATAATCTAGCCATTACACTTCTGGATATATGTGCAAATTAAATAAAATCACACTCTTAAAGAGATATCTGTTTCTCCATGTTTATTACAGCATTATTCACAGTCTTTGAGACATGTGGCAACAACCAAGTATCAATTGCTGAGTGAAGAGAAGAAAATATGGTACAAATTGACAAGGGAAAATTACTCAGCCATAAAAAAGGGAAAGACAAACAAGATAGGTAGATTGTAAGAATTATGTGAAGTAAATAGTAAATTCATTTGTATATGTAATATAAAATCTACTCAGAAACGTGTAATAGAGTGAAAGTTGACAGAATGTGAAGTATGGGACAAATGGAGAGACATAGTTCAAAGAGTACTGATCTCCAGCTATAAGATTAATACCTTCAGGATATCTGATGTACTACTGCAGGGTAGCTATAGGTAACAGTACTGTTTCTCACAACAAAAGTTAGGTCTTAATTATGTAAGTGGGTTATGTAACAACTTACCTTAATATGGTCATTATTTCAAATACAAAATTGTCAACTCATATTTTGCACCATAGATTTATATGTGGGCTGGAGCAATAGCACAGTGGGTAGAGCAGTTTGCCTTGCACACTGCCCACCCAGGCCGACCCGGGTTTGATTCCTCCACCGTTTTTGGAGAGCCCAGCAAGCTACCAAGAGTATCGCACCTGCCCGGCAAAGCCTGGCAAGCTCTCCTTGATGTATCCAATATGACAAAAACAGTAAGAACAAGTCTCACAATGGAGACGTTACAGGTGCCCATTTGAGCAAATTGATGAACAATAGAAGGACAGTGCTACAGTGCTACAGATTACATATCAATTACATGTTAATTACATATCAATAGGGTTGACATCTTTTATATTTTAAAAAAGGCATTTATCCCTGAAAAATGTTTATTGCAATCTGAATTTTAGTAAGGAAAGAACCTGGCTTTTCTAATATTATAGAAGTGTTCTCTTTATTCCCTCCAAATATTTCCTAATGAACAATAATACACACAGTATTAATTTGCAATCTCTATTCCACTGTCCCAAACATGGCATTCATAAATCCTTTAATATATTATAATAAATTTAACATAGACAAAACATCAAAGAAAGTACAAATTCTTGCTAATAAAAGGGAAGGATTAAAAAAGGAAGGGAGGGAGTAACAGAGGAAGTGAAAGAGAAGAAAAGTCTTCCTAGTTTGTTCTCTCAAACATATTTTGAGAAATAGGTAAATTTAAATGTTTCGCACAGGGTAAGTAAATTAGTATAGGCGTTTTTTAAAGTTCAAATCCAAGTCTGTTCATTTATTTTAAAAAATGATGTTTCTATTTAGAAAAAGATTTCATGTGTGACTATTACAAATTCTAATTGTTATCACACCTAGAATACTGAGTGGTTTAAAATCATTCATTACAGGAGGGAAAGTTTTGCCACTGTTAGACTTCTTCTGGGTGAACAGAATCATGATGTAGCACGAAAACTGGGCACTGAAATTTGATTTCCAAGCAATACTAACGTACCCTCTCAGGAAGCTGACAGCTGTACCAAAAATTCCTGTACCAACCTGTCTTCCTGAGAAAAAAAAAAAGAACCAAAAAAACCCAGGCATATCTATATTATTCTTGTATTTTTTTCCCTCATTAGTAGCATCAGTAGCATCACCCTCACCAATTTGTCTTATTTTCAGTCAGCTGTGAATGGTTTTCTCAACCCCAAAGATTAGAGTTTTCTACCACAACCATCTTGAGGAAAAATAATTTCTACATTTTCATCTCATCTAGATGTGGGGAAGTGAAGCCCTCAGAGTCATTTCCAAGGGTCTTTAGCTGCAAGACCAGACTTCCACCAAGTCATTCTGGTCCACCCCGAGTAGACATTTAGAATTAAGGGATTCAGGGCTTACTCCCGTCACTACACTGAGGTATCATTTCTGGAGGCGCTTTGGGGATCATAGAGAGTGCCAGGGATCAAACCCAGGTTGGCAACATACAAGGCAAGCACTCTACCTGCTGTGCTATCTTCCTGACCACAAAAAAAAAAAGAAAAGAAAAAGAAAAAAGCATACTTTTAAATTTCCATGTGATCTTCCTATCTCCAGAAATGAAGTGATCCTGGAAATTTCTCTTCCTCACTTGACTTTCACCTTGAATGTACTTTGGAGCATTGAAAGATTTTTCTATCCCTGAAGAGACGATTAAACTAAAATTGCTTATCCAGGGGCTAGAGAGATAGCACAGTGGGTAGGGTGTTTGCTTTGCACGCGGTCAA